GCCTGTCCTAAAGCCTATGCTAGCCCAGCTAGAGTGGGTATGTTCACACTTTGAATGCAGGGTAGACACACCTGAAATGCAACAGCCAGATTTACTCAACTTCTCAGCACCCACTGAGAACAATGGAGAATTGCCCCCACAACCACACGCACTGAAACCCTGGGGGCTGGGTTCCTCTGAAAAGCTGGCTCGTACCGCATGGGGGCACACCCCTTGGGAGAGCCTCTTTTCACCTTACCAGCTCCTCCACCACTGGGAAATTCCTGTTCTTGTCTTGCCTGTGAAAGCCATCAGCGACAGTGTGTGTTCAGGAACGCGTGGGCCTGATCTTTAGCTGGCATGAATTGGTGTCACTCCACTGACTTCCACCAGCCAAGGACGTGGCCCCGCAGCCCCTGCCGACGCTCCAGCCAGAGCTTGCTTAGTTTTCGGCATGTCCAGAAGCAGAGATTCACATTCGCAGGCTAAGGCACAAAAATAAAACGTGGCCAGTATCCTGAGATCGCTGGAGCGAAGGCCACCCAGGCCACCTCCCTGGGATGCCTTTTAGCTGCGGGATCACAGAGGCTGTATTGTAATTTGCCTTGACTGCACATGATTCACTAATGCCAGGCATTTGGAGACGAGTTATCAGCTTTAGTGACAGGACACAGGAGCCATTGAGCAGCCTGGTCAGGGATCTCCTCGTGTCAGGGAAATGTTGGTCTGGACAGCTCCAGGTAGTAGCTCTAGGCACAGCAGCACTGACACCCCCCTTCCTTTGCTTTCCCCGAGCACGCTCCCTGGCAGCGAACATCTCCCCAGGTACAGGTGCGAGTGAGGCCCTGGACACAGACCCAGCTCCAGAAGCTCCCGGGTTCTTGACCAGACACACAAAGGCCCAGATCCTCAAAGGTACTGGGGCTCCTAACTCCCAGATTTCCATGGAAGTCGAGTGCCTAAATGCCTTTGAGGATCTGGGCCAAACTCCCACAGGAGCCATACACACTTGCGTCCAAGGGCAGGATTTGGCCCTCAGCCCTTTTCATCCACGCAAAGTGATTGCCACCGACCCCTTCCTCCCCTGGGACCCAGCCATTGCTCCCACATCCTCCATGGAGCTGTGGGGGACTGGTTATGGCAGCCTCTCTGTGATGGCCACGCTGGCAGCTGAGGAGCAGCGGATGGATCTCAGGCTCTGGCAGCGGCATACTGTGGAGCTCCAGCCTGCCCGGTGCCATGGGGAGCAGAGGAACACAAGCTGCGCCTTGGGTCGTCATGCACCAGACTTCCAATGGCTTCCGCCAGGCACCAAGGATGAGCACCTCCAAGCACCATCCCCGCAAAGTGGCATGAAGCACTACAGCAAGTGGCAGCCTGGCACTCGTCTGGCAAGGCCTTGGTTAGGGTTGGGCAGGACAATTCGGGGAGGATGGGCACGGGAGTTTCACTAACCCCTTGTAGCTGTGTTCCTGGGCTCCAGACGCCTCTCGGGGTGCGTCTGCACCACAATCACGGGGTGTGACTGCAGCATGGCCAGACACACCCGAGCTCACTTTAGGCCAGCTAGCTCGGGTTCCCCAGGAGGGGACGGAACAGCAACTCAGGCACTTTAAAAGACAGCTACCAAGGCACGACTCATCATGCCCCACTCAGTGGCAGCAAAGCCCCTTTGACTTGAGGTGCTGCTTTACTGCAGCCATCCCCAGCCACTGCGTGTGACGAGTCAGACCTGGAGATCAGCTGAAAGAGATTCATAAAGCAGGAGCGTGATAGGGCCTGATTCTGAGCTCACTTATGTCAGTATAACGCCGCTGGCCCCCCCACCCCTTGCACCTTGTCCCTCCATTTACATCAGTGCAAAGTGGGTGTGTAAAACACATAAGAACGGCCATACAGGGTCATATCAATGGTTCATCTAGCCCAGTATCCTGTCTTCCGACAGTGGCCAATGCCAGGTGCCCCAGAGGGAATGAACAGAAATTCACAGGCAATTCAGAACGCCACCGTTTTAACAGTCACTTTACACAGCTCTAAATGACCCAAGGAACAAGGCAAAGAATCAGGCCCGCTGATTCCAATGGAGCGACTCCTGATTTATGTTGGGACGAGGGAGATAAGAAACAGGTGCAATGCGTTTTGGGGAAAAGCCCACCCAGCCGCTCATCATAATACCCGGCTCTTCTACGGTGCTTGTCATCTGGAGATCTCAAAGCGCGCTGCCAACGACGACTGGAGATGAACAATACAGCGGCGCCCTTTGTCATGCAGCTATTCCTGGGGTAGTCAGCAGTTCCCCCGCAAAACATCAGCTCAAATGGCGGGTGGCCAGAGAGCTCCCAAGCCACAGCAACATAAAGAGCAGTTGACACCATCCAAGCAAACTAGAATATATTAATATTTACATATCTGGTATCAGACTTTCTAGGAAGAAGACAGAGAATAGAGGAAGTGGGGGAGAAACAGAGGGCTGGTTTATCACTGCTTAGGCTTCCATCCACAATGAACTGCCCCTCCCCCTGGTAAAGAATTCCCAGGCTTAATGTGAACGCTACTGACAGTGTGTGATCCGAGAACGGTTCCAGGGCTCCCATGGCCATGCTGGGACCAAGGCAGCCAGGGTGCAACAGGCCCTTTTCACCAATAAAAATGTCTCTCCAGAAGAAAGTGGGGTTTCTGCTAGACTCAAGATGAGCGTGGGCACCAGGATGCGTACGATGGGAGGAAGAAACCGCTAGCGTTCTCCCTCCTGGCTTGAATTAAACACAAGACCAAACGAGCCCACTTAGGCTAACAAAAGGATGGCGCAGAAAGAAACCAACCCCCAACACTGGTTATATGGCCCCAAACTGCTGGAGACCAGATGCTGGTCTCAGAAGCCCCGTGTATATCCAGAATGACTCCAACGGAGATAGTCCAGCTTTCTGCACTGACGAGAACATTTACAGCCTGGCTCTGATTCATTGCCGTGTTACCTTGGCACGTACCTAGAGCACCTCTGCCGAAACCAAAACAAGACTTGGAATATAACATGAACTCAGCAATGCTACTTGGGATTGGTGCTCCAGGCCGGATCCTCGGCTGGCGTGAACCAGCCAGTTCACACCAGCCAAGGAGCTAGCCCTGCGTGTCTGCGCTGAAGTCAATGGAGCTACTCCGGATTTGCAGAGCGGATCAGATTCACCAATGCTTTACTCCAGTTTTATGCACTAGCTCCATGCAGATCAATGGAGTTACTCCAGTGTAAGACTGGAGAGGGCAGCACTAGTGAATCAGGCTCTATCTCCACTGTAGTTACTCTGGATTTACTGAGCCCAGAATTTAGCCCTTGAATTCTTTCCCCTTGGTACCTTCTGCAGGGAATGCTGCTAGGACAAGGAGGGGAGAGACTGATTTGGCTGGATCCAGGTAGAAAAATTAAAAATCTTTATCCTCAGGTGGTGTGAATGGGCCAGGCCGCGTGGATTTCCGGATTGCTTTACAGCAGCTCAGGTCTGGCCCGGTGAATTGAACTGCTCTTTGCACTTTTACTATGAAGTCGATGTTTAAGGAAACAGTTTATCACGTGGGATAGTTTAAAAGTGGGGGCAGAGGCATTTTAGTTGCTTCGTTCTCCGGGGGCTCATTTCACTTCCTTTGCTTCTAGAATTCGTGGCTTGTCCAGTTTGCTGGGTCCTGTAAACAGCCCAGAAACGAGCCACCTCCTAAGGCTCCCCTCCGAGAGCTCCCCTCAAAGCAGCTAGCTGCTGCCTGGCCCGGGTGAAATTCACTCCTCTGCAGAGAGCCAGCCCCGCGTCTACATACCGAGTCCTGCTCAGCACAGGAACGGAAGTGGGATTTCAGTGGCGCAGGGGTGTGGGGCTGGCGCGCCGCACAGGAGTGGATTTCACACCCGCCCCGAATCCTCTTTTCAAATCTAATGGAGGGCCAGGCCCTGTGAGTTTCCAACATTCCTCTCCCTCCACGAATCCAGGATCGGCACCTCAATCTGGGTCCCAGAGGTGCCCAAATTCAGCCCCTTTGAGCCACACCCGGGAACTGGGGGGACCTGTATGGCGCAGAATGGTAGAAGTTCCTTAGCAGGCAGATTCAGCTGCTATAAGGCAATGGAGCGGCCCTGATTCACAACAGCTGAGGATCCGCCGCTACCGCTGCACCCTGGGGAACAAGCAGTGAGCTGGGAGAGGTCGGCGGCTCAGTGTGATTTCCCACCAGATCCACCCACTCGAGAGAGAGGCTCACTGAATATCAGCGAGGCCTGGAGGCAGGACAGAGCTCTCTGAGATTTGCATGCGTGCAGCAAAGGGAGGAGGAGGAGGATTGCTGGTCTGAGTTTTGCGCACAACCCTGATAAGAGAGAATCACACAATAAGGCAGAAGGTAAAGAGTGGGAGGGGTGGAAGGGGGTTATTGGCGCGTGGGCTTCGGTGGGGCTACAATCGGCCAACAACTGCACATGGGCGAGTCTGAAACACGAGGCTAGCGCCGGACATCCCGCCGGAGCGTTGAAAGCAGCCCCCGCAGCTGAGCCCAGCATCCCACAAAGCCTGGGGAAGGGCAAGAGGCATTTGCGGGTCTTTCCTCAATGTTCCTGGCTCACGGGTGTAATGCTCACGTCTGCAGCGTCCGCGAGCCACGAGCTCCTTATGCTGCACCAGCCGCCGCCGCTTCACGATTCTGTCGCGACACCAACCGCTGCTTAAGGGGAAGGGGGAACACTCAGAGCTGTAACGGGACAGAATCCTTGTTCTGTGTCTGAGCCCAAACGGGAGCCTCAGGGGGACAGGAGATGACGTTCGCTGCTGAGCTTCCAGAGCGAGGTGCTGCAGTGACTCAGCGACGCTCACAGCAGGCTCCCGTTTGCAAAGCCCGGGGGGGAAGGGGGGGCTGTCGACAGAACGGGAAGGCTGCTGAACTCCTCCATGCCGAGTGAGCTGTGTGCGCAGCCCTGCTGGAAGACAAGTCCAAAGCTCTTAAGGGGGGGGGGGGGGGGGGGGGGGGGGGGGGGGAGAACCCTTTTTTGGGTGAAAACAGGGTAAAAACGGGTCAACTGAGCGACGGGTAGAGGAAAAGAAGTGGGGGGAAAGGAGCCACGGGATTGCTGAGTCTCCTCACCTCTTGGCAGGATCCCAGACACCTTGGGGGGAGGGAACGGGAGTGGGAGGAGCGCCACACCACAAGGCTCAAGTACTCAATGCTCAGCTTCCTTCACAACTTCTGGATCTTCTCTGCCACAATAATGGGGTTCTCCTTGCGGATCTTCTCAGCCGCCTCCGCCTTGTAGTCATACGGGCAGCTGTGCATGTCAGAGTACCGGTGGATGGCACAGAACAGGTTCCCGCAACGGCAGTCGAAACCTGGATAGGTGAATTCCGGAGAGACAAAGCAGAGTTAATCATGAACTATCCGGATGGGGAGGTGACACAAACAGGGCGAGAGGGTTGGCTCTTAGCACACACTGACACCCCATTTATGCCTAAAAAAGGTCAGATTAGGCACTAACTGCCTGCGAGTCCCCCCGGTGATCCAGGGGGGCTCAGCTGCTGCCACGGAGCAGTCCAGTGGCTCAGCCATCACTTCATTTGATTTCCTATGACTGGGCCAGCTGTCCCAAACGGTGGGAAGAGAGTTTTTTAACAGGGCCTACTGCTCCTGCGCGCCCACATTCACTGGAGATGAGGAGGGCTAGCGAACCAATCAGAAGCCAAGGTTGGAGGTCACAGCATGTCAACAGGCTTCCAATAAAGATCAGGCTTCCTGTTCTCAAATTTCTGCTGACCAGGAGTCAGCTCTTTCGTGCCCTGACGGCAGGAGGAGTGGCTCAAAATACAACATGCCATGTTGGATTTACAGCACAACCCATTCATCAAAGGGCAAGCCGAAGGCAACAGCAGCACGGGAAGCGTTTGAATAACCAAAGATAATGGCCTATGGGAAAATGACCCTGTTTTGGACACCAGTTTGCTGAAGCTCAGATAATTGAGGTTGTGCTGTATTTTGATGGATCTCGCTGGATACTAGGTAACAGCCTGGTTGCTACTTGGACATTTTAGGTTTGCTTTATCCACAGAACTGTGTGAGCTACAACCGTGTCCCAATCTGATCATTGGTCCCCTTGAAAACTTTCCAGAGAACTGGGTTTTATGGCTAATATCTCTGGTGCCTTTGGATGGAGTGAACCACACAAGTGAAGTACTCAGCTACCGAAGTCTGTCGTTTAATCATTTAGCTTCGCTCTTAGACAACGTTTTTCAAAGGTATTTTAACCAGTACCATTATCCCAGTGTCCTAGATTGGGGAATCCAGGCACAGAGCAGGGAAATAATCTACTTCAGTTCAGCAGCCGAGCAAACCCCCGGTCTCCTAACTTGAGTTCAGCACTTTAACCACCGGACAATGCTGCAGCCTGAAGCGACATGCTATGGAACAATTTCCAAGACGTTGGTGTGATGTATGAATTTATCCCCATCTGAGAATCCAAGGACACGGGTGCTGACTTGCCTTATCCTAATACACAGAATTCCTGTGAGGTACCCAATATTATTATTTATTCCCATAAGAAGGGGTGTGGGGTGTTCGACTTTTTAAACATGCTGGGTAAGAAAGCAGCTTCCCTTCCAGGAGGACATCCCGCTGCCTACAGATCTGGAGAGCCTGCACAAAGAGTATATTTTCCCTCCTCTGTGCTCCCGGAAGTGGACTTGCTAATAACATTTATATGATAGCGCCCAAAGGCTGCAAATCGAGATCAGGGCTTCGTTGTGCCAGGCACTGCACAAACACCTCGGGCTTATCTCGCACATGGGACCTTAATGCTGGTTAAAGCAAAGGCTCGTGTGTAGATTTCATGTTGCTAATCACAATCTATAACTAGGTTAAAGAGGAGAGCGCTCTGCTCAAACAGTGTGACCTCCGCAGCTCTGGGGTTAACTTTTTCCAGGGAAAGATTAAATGGTGGAGTAATTTGAGGGGAGTACTGCTTTTGGTAAGGAAATGCAGCCAAGTTAATTGCTTAGTGAATTTTCTTGCCTGTAACATCTTACAGGGCCTGATTAATGCTGCTTACCTGGAACAACCCTGTCACTTTTTCACCATTAAGCTCCCCAGGCTCATAACGAATAGCCTGATCTTGCTTTCATTGAACAGTCAGAGTCCAATTGATTTTCAGAGGCAGGCAGGGGGCTGGGGGGATTTTCAAGTGCTCATTCCTGGCCTACCTTTGCCCCTGTTACTCTCAGTGGGGATTTGAGCACTGACTTCAATAGAGCTAGGCCGGCACCAAGTGCTTTTGAAAAGCCCAGCCTAGAGCATCAGTCCCATGTTATGCTGATCATGGTTATTACAATAGTGGCTAAGGACCAACCAAAAAGGGAGCCCCATTGGGCCGGGCACTGTAGAAACCCAGAGTAGCAGACAGTCCCTGAGGTACGTTGGGAGTCACTGGTAGAGGGGACCCTAGTCTGAACAAAAGACTGACTGACTATACCACAGCTGAAGGGTAGAGGGCCCAGCCAGCTGGCACGTCAAGAGCCCTCTTTCCAAGGAACGGCTGTATATTTAAGTGACGGGAGTGCTAGGGAACGGTGCAGGACTGGAGAATGAAGAACAAGCCCTCCCTTTCCCTGCCCCTCTGACAATGTGTCTCACTGGACCTCAGACTCCTAGACTTTATGGCCAGAAGGGACCATCGTGATCATCTAGTCTGACCTCCTGCACATCGCAGGCTGCAGAACCTCACCCACCCACCCCTGGCTGAGTTACTGACATCCTCAAATCATGGTTTAAAGGCTTCAAGTTACAGAGAATCTACTGTTTAAACCTCCAAGTGACCCGTGCCCCACGCTGCAGAAGGCGAAAACCCCTCAGGGTCTCTGCCAAACTGACCTGGGGGGAAATTCCTTCCTGACTCCAAATATGGCAATCAGTTACTGTTAGACCCTGAGCATGTGGGCAAGCCCCAGCAGCCAGACACCTGAGCAAGGATTCTCTGTAGTAACTCAGAGCCCTCGCCACCTAGTGTCCCATCACCTGCCGCTGGAGAGATTTGCTGCTAGCAGTCGCAGATCGGCTACACGCCATCATAGGCGGTCTCATCATATCATCCCCTCCAGAAATTTAGCAAGCTCAGTCTTGAAGTCAGTTAGAATCATAGAATATTAGGGTTGGAAGGGACCTCAGGAGGTCATCTAGTCCAACCCCCTGCTCAAAGCAGGACCAATCCCCAGACAGATTTTGACCCCAGTTCCCTAAATGGCCCCCTCAAGGACTGAACTCACAACCCTGGGTTTTGCCCCACCATTCCCCTTGGAAGGCTGTTCCAGACCTGGACTCCCAGTGAATGAATTCCAAACATCCCTATTGCAAAATAAATGTGTAGATACATTCTTATATTACCCAAGCTTCCCTATAGCTGGTCTTAACTGAGCTCCGCTTGTGCCCACGCCTTATCTGTCGTGAGCCTCATGCAGCTTGGGGACGTGGCTAAGATTTCCTCAGTGGCCTCTCAGCATTAGGGAGAAAGTACAAAGGGCTTAAAAAAGTCCACACACATACTCGCCTCCTTCTCTGGCAAGCCAGGGATCTAGCGCATCACTTTAGCTTTCCACTGAATAAACAGACCGAGATTTTCAGGAGTGACGAGAGATTTTAGCTACCTCCATTTCTGAGGGTCCAACTTGTGAGATCTTAAAAGGGCCTGATTTTCAGAGGGTGGGTATGAGGCCCTTTCTGAAGATCAGACCCTTTTAAGAGGTCTCAAACTGGGTACCCAACTACCGAGGCCCCCCACAATCACCAGCTGTCTTCCGAATTCTGCAGAAAGCCAGCTCCATTGCCTTTGCTTCTGCACGAAGCTTTGCCGAGCAGCAGCAGCAGCGCGAAACTGAGAGGTGCTGCTCAGTTTGCTATTGGAATGCTCAGAGCAGCAAGGAAACAGACAAGAATTGTGTCACTTGCACCCTGCCACTGCTTGGGAAAGCTATGGCTACGGGTTCAGTATTGTTCAAACAACAGCGTCCCACCGACCAATTCACCCACATTTCTCAGGATACCAACACATCCCTTGGAAATTTCAGCTCCAAACACTGACCCACCCCAACTCTGCTTATCTTGTGAAATCAGAGAGGATCACAGAACCAGGGGATATGGATGTATGCTTATGAAACCCTACAAGAACGCCTGAAAACAGATACCACCTCAGGGATTCAAAAATCTACTTTCCCTAAAGCAGGCAGGTGCCGTTCTTGGCCACAGGCCGCTTTCCTCATTATGTCTTACCAGTTAGCCCGATCTTCTTCCGGCAAGTAAAACAGCGATTCTTTTTCTGTTTGGGTTTTTCTGAAATCTTCTCACCCTCAGCAGAGTTCTGGGATATTTCAAGGAGGGTCTCTGCAACAAAGAGAGGAGGGGAGAGTTTCCTTACCTCCCTTCCACACCAGGGAACATTTCTGTGTATTGTTTTTGTTACACTAGCACCTAGAGGCCCTAATGGAGATTGGGACCCCACTGTGCTAGGAGCTGTACATATGTACAGCGAGAGAAAATACCTGCCCCCAAAGAGCTTACCATCTAGACAACACAGAAAGGGGAGAGAGATTATCTCCATTTTACAGGCGGAGAATCGAGGCAAAGAGATCACATGACTTGTCTGAGATCCAGATCTCCCGAGTCCCAGTTAAGGGCTTTAGCTTAGCTAAATAAATAATGAACGTTCACACTTCCATAGCATGTTTCATCTGTAGGTCTCACAATGCTTTACACACGTAAGTAAGCCCCACTATCCCTACTCTACTGGTGGGAACCCTGAGGCTCTAAGGGCCAGGTTTTCAGAGGTATTTAGGTGCCTCGTTGGATTTCCAAAAGCACCTAAGCAGGCTGGCACCTGTCTCCCGTTGAGATCCATGGGAATTCGGCGCTAACCAGCCTAGGCACTTTGGAAACTCCCACTAGGCACCTATCTGCATCTTTAGGTGCCTAAACACCTTAGAAAGTCTAGCCCTAGAAGACGAAGGCTATGTCTACACTGTAGCCGGGGGTGTGATCTGTGGCTTGTGCAGACGTACCCCCGCTAGCTTTAACCTCGTTAGCTCACTGAAAACAGCCAGGAGGATGCAGTGGCGTGAACTTCAGTGCAGGCAGCACAAGCAAGTACACACCCCATAGGGTAAGGAGGACTTGGGCAGCCCACACTGCCACATCCTCACGGCTGTTTTTAGCAAGCTAGCTAAAGTGCAGCTAGTGCCGGTATGTCTACATGAACGGCAAATCACCCCCCCGTTGCAGTGCAGACCTACCTTCAGCAGTGACTTGCTGATGATCATGCCATGAGTCAGTGGCCAGGAATAGAAGCCAGGTCTCTCAAGTCCCTGCCCAGTGCCTTTTCCACCAGACTAGGCTACCTCTGGCTTTGCGCCGCTTGCCAGAAACCACCACCTCCCTCACCCTCCTTCTCGCCCTGTGCTGGTAAGAAAAGGACTCCTGTCACCATACTTGAGCCAATGGTTGAATCCAGCAGCAGGATCCGCTTCCTTTAATGACCATCAACACTCCTTTTTAAAAAAAAGGAGTTTGTACAGGATCAAACGGGTGGTGTGTGTGGAAGTAGAGAAAGAACTGACGGGGATTTGAAGGAAATTTCAAATCCACGTAGTTCCCTTATATAAGCAAGAGTTAGGCTAGCTGGAACCCTAATCATGCGAAATTTCTAGAAGCAAGAATTGTGTAAGGCAAGTGGGAAAGAACTGTATAAGAAGTTGTTGCGACCTTGTGTTAAATAAGTATAAAATGTAGACTGTAGTCTAAACAGAGGTGAAAAAAATAAGATATCAGGATAACCTATGTATAAACAAAATGCAGCTGTTGCCCATTATTGTATGTAACAAAGGTATAAATGCTTGCTGTAATTGTTTACCTGGAAAGAGACCTGTTTTGCTCTCTCCCTCCATGCAATTGCTAGAGAAAATAAAGTATCTAACTTGCTGCACCCAACCTAAAAGTAAGAACTCTGTTTTTCTCCGACATGGGGTTAAATAACCGTGGCTTCGGATTGGAGGAGGGCATCTCCATGGCAGCGTGTGGCGCCGTTATGGCTCCAAACCAACTGTAACGGATCAACCAGAAGCCGCTCCCTACTTAGCACTGACATTTGCACTTCTCCACTATACAAACATCTCTGTGAGGCATGCGGGTATTAACGTGGCCATTTCACAGCTCGGTAAAGTGAGGAACGCAACAGCTCGGGGACTCGCCTGTGGTCACAGAGCGAGTCACCAGTATAGCCAGAAATAGAACCCATGAGTCCTATTTCCTCGTCCTCTGCCATTAACCTGCACTGGATCGATCGCCACTCGTCCCGCGCGAGAGATGGCATGGAACTGCAGCATGCAGCCGCCTAGATGGGCACACTGGGCAGGGGGTTGCTTCCAGGTGTTCTGACATTTAAAAAGATAGAAATCATGGAAGATTATCTGGCCGCCAGGTATTTGAAGGTTGGTGGCTAGTCAGTTCTCAGCCCACAGAGTGATCTATTAGGCTTCATCCTCAGGCAATGAGGAAACAGCCTTTCCAACCCTTTCCCCTAGATGTTAGCTACAGATCGTACATGTGTGACTCTTCCCTGTGTTCCTGGCTAGTATTCTATTTGCTGCTTAAAACTGGATTGTCATTTATACTCGAGCCAAGTCTTAATCAGCTGACTACCTGATGAGGAAGATGCTGAGGAGGTTTCGTCTGTGCTAATGTATCCGACTGTCTCGCTGCTGGTTTCTTCTCTGGATATGCTCATGGCCGTCATCTGATGGGTCACAGGAGTCTGAGTGCTGGGAGCATTCACAACAACAAACAAACCACAGAGCAAACAGAAATATTTTCCTCGGATGAGCAGTTATGTGAGAGGCATCTTCAGCCCATAAAATTAACTTCATTACATTCACAGAAAGCGCAGCGGCACGGTAGGTCAATCATTTAACCTCTCTTCTCTGGAGACTTGGGTTCATGTTTCTCTTAGGACTCAAATGGAATGAATTTGTGATGATCTCAGCCTCCCTCCTCCCTCCCAAAGCAATGGACATGAGTCACAGTCCAGAGAGAGAGCTCCAGGACTGTGGGGAGAGGGATAGCTCAGTGGTTTGAGCATTGGCCTGCTAAACCCAGGGTTGTGAGTTCAATCCTTGAGGGGGCCACTTAGGGATCTGGGGCAAAATCAGTACTTGGTCCTGCTAGTGAAGGCAGGGGGCTGGACTCGATGACCTTTCAGGGTCCCTTCCAGTTCTATGAGATAGGTATATCTCCATATATTAGAACAGATACTGGTGAGGACTGTATGGCTCTGGCAGAGCTGAGTGAGAAGAGCAGGGGGCAGGGGTGGTGGGAGTTATGAAGCAGCTGGGACCGACTGGGATTTGAATACAGCGGGTGTTTTGGATTCCGGCTAGGGGTACACAGGCAGAGCTGTGTGCGTAGAAACTTGCGTGGTATTTCTGTTTACTACAACTTAGTATTCTAGGTCAGAAATCCACCTGATTTTTCTCCCTCAAAAGAGCCTAAGCCCTGGATTTTTTCCCTTCCATTTATTAAAGTCTGTTTCAAACACATCTGTACCATTGGTTTTGAATTTAATACTATCTGGAGCCTTTGAAAGCTAGGAGCAGAATTCAACCCAGGGTTAAGAGCACTGGGCCATCAATGGAATTAGAGTGGGGATGGATTTGATCCGGTGGGTTTTTTATTCCAGCTAGAAAAGAGGCAAGGCCAGTTTCTCTCTTTCATCAACAGCCCCTTCCAAATGAGAAGCTGGGTTGGCCGCCCCTGCAGTCAGCCGCTGAAGCGAACACGCCCAGGCACTCAGCTCCCTCAATCAAGTTCAGGACAGGACTCTGCTGAACTTTACAGCAATGAACTGCAGAAAATAGGTCTGATTCTCCTATGTCTCATTCCAGCCCTCTGGGGGTTTTCTAGAACGTCCATCACCCTCGTATCCAGGTGCTGCACCGGTAAATTAGCTATACATAGGGAGGTCTACTGTGGACTTCCCAAAGTATTTTGTTCTTCTCGTTCACAGCATTTTTACACCAATATAGTTCCACTGACTTCAATGGAATTACTCTTTACACCAGCCTGAGAGGGGAATCAGGCCCTGTGGCTTGTCTGTACAGACAGGATGCTCCTCTGAAATGAAGCAGGCGGAGAGGAAAAGGATCAGACAGGGTTAACCTCAGCAACGCTCCAAGCAGCAGCTGCATGGCGGTGGAAGGACACTCACAGGTGTATGCCCTTTCATACCGGGCCCCATATGTCAGCTAGTCACTTTTGGGGCACTAAAAGTTTAGAGGCTGGGCCTAGTGTCTGAGAGGTGAACACTGAGTCAGTGACCTCTTTAGACCCAGACTGTTTTACAAAAGCTAATCAGCTGCAAGGCAGAGAATAAAAGCCTCTCTCCTGGTCCCACAGCTATTGCTGGTAGATCCGTATAGAGTTTCTTGCCCCTACCTGGTTTTCACATCTTCAGGCGTCGGGTCTCCCTCTGTGCCCTGCCCTGGGATGGAATCTGAAGCCGCAGGGCTGTTGCTGGGACCATTTGCTGCTAAGACAAAACCCCACATTGTCAGTGAACTCTCAGAAATATCAGCAAGCACCACAGGCGTTAACCAATAGCCAAAGGGACAGCAGGCAAGGCTCAGGAATCAATTCCTGATTCACTTGGTGTCTTTCAGACCCAGGATCACAAAACCCTTCTCACTAACTCAAGCGGTTTTTGCCACAAGAGCCAAAGGGATCATCCATGGAGGTTTTGGCGGCTCCTCGGGCTTTGATGGACAATGAGGAGAACCTACCCACAAAGGCTCAGAGTGCCAATCACCCTCAACTCCCATTGGCTTCAATGGAAGGCTGCTCAGCTCCCCACAGGATCAGGCTTCTTTGAGAGTCCCCCTCTCAGTTTCTTGGTACTGAGAAACCAAACTGCCCCATTCTCCACCTCAAGACAGACGTATCCTTTGAAAGGGCCCTTAAAGGGACACTGCAGGCGCCTATGTTATCTAGAACCCAACTGTCATTTTGCCACTGCTTAAAGCCAAAGGACCAGATTCTCAGCTGCTGTAAACCAGTGTCGTTCCACTGGCTACAACAGAAACACACCGATTGACACCGGCTGAGGATCTAAACCAAACTCTTTAGTGAATTCTCTAATCCTCCTCAAGGAACAACAACCTCCTTAGTGTACCATCCCCCGCAGTGAAATCAAGTACAGCATTGCTATGCCGGGGATAAAAATTATACAAGGGATTTATCAGGCATCTTTCACGTTGCCATCTAAGTACCTGTACGCTCAGTGTCTGCACAAACCCACAGCAGGGGTGAATCCTGCTAATGATGAGAAGAGCAGAGTTTGTCTTCACAGCTGCCTCTCTGTTCAGTCACATGTCTAATGTGTTTAGTAGCAAGGATCGGATCCTTAATTTCACTGCTCTGGCTCGTCAGCACTATTGAGATGAGAAAACTAGACAACCCGGGTGGCCAATTTCATCCCTGGTGCCATTTCACTCACTTCAGTGGGTTTGCACCGGGGATGAATCTGGCCCGATGTCTCTGGTGGTAACTGGGGAGCTCAGGGAGCAGCTGAACAGCACGGAGTCTCACTGTCAGGACATGCGACGTACTGGTGTGATGAATGGGAGCCATGTCTAACAAACAACTTGGATCAGGGTGGATACAACTAAGGTAGTGCAGGGATTGTGGGATCCTGGCTTATATGCCGAGGCAGCGACCTCTCAGATCGGCTGAGAGGCAGCGCTACATTCATCATTTACACACCCAGACATCCAATCAATGGACTTTCCTCTACCTGGGGGGCTTATCCGGCCACTGCTCTGTTGCCTCTGTAGATACTCTTTATAGCAAACTGAGCACATCCCATTGGTTCGGGGACTGCCGTAGAATCCACAGCCTGTGGTACACAGCATAGGCACCTGTGTTTGATTAGTCTCCTGGGCCATTGTCTCGCCTCCAACTACAAAGCAGGAACAAGAGAGACAGAGCAGTTACATATCCGCGGGACATTTCCTTGTATACCATGGCTGACCAGGAAGGAGATGCACAAAGGACCCCAAGAGAGGTGTGATCTTGTGCAATTTTACTCTCCTAAGTGGTTACGCTCATGCACAAGTGTTTGCTAGATCGGAGCCCTTGCCAACCCTGCAACCCATATTCAAAAGTGGCCTAGTCCTGCATCACTAAAGTCAAAAGAAGCAGGATTATAAGTAGTCCCTCCTCACACAAGTAGGCCTACAACAGTCACGGGATACCTGCATGAGTAAGAACTACTTGCGTGAGTAAGGGCTGCATGATCAGGTCCCAAATATCAATCAAAAATTTCCGTACGTGTGTTAGTAGCAGCTCCCTCGATCACCAAATCAAAGCATTTAAATGGACCATACTCAGGTGGGTTAGTTACATTTTGCACTTTTACCGCTTTCATTTTCATTTATAGCAAGTTTTCCTTTCTGATTCTCAGGCACTAGCCCAAGGCTGTGATATCTAACCCAGAAAAGATTGAAAGAGAATGTTTAAATCCAAACAAGTATCTGTGTTCTCTGATCAATTGCTTTGAACCCTGATGGGAGTGGGCTATGAATGTAAATAAGCGAGAATTCCTATTATTACTAGGTTCTGTAAAACCCTTAACACACGCAATTTTAGGCCAGTCTTGTGTTGTTTTTAAAACTCACCCTCAAACTATTTTCACACCTGTGCATTCTCACTTTCAATTGTGCTGCATTATTTATGTTCCCAAACTGCACTGAATTATTTTAAGCAAAAACCATAAGCAACAGCTCCTGGTAGTAAAAAGCACCGAGATGGAAAGAGACGAGAAACGTACGACACAGCCTATAGCACAGATTATAAATTATTCCTATTGCGTGGGCGAGATGCTGCGTCTGTTATGCTGTTGTAAATCTGTAGTAAATTCACTGATCTCAGGGTCGTGATTCTAGGTTTACACTGGTTAAAGGGCAGCTCAGACTCTGGCCCCGAGCTACTCACAGTACAAAAAAATAATTCTGATCCAGTGGAAGCAAAGCTTTTAAAAACTGCAACAGGAAATTCCACTCCACCCTTGCCAAAGCTTTCAGAGAGAGATGGCCAGCAACTCTCTCCAAGCCCACAGATATCCCTCCATGTGAAGAGTGCATGTTAGAACTCTGTAGGTTTAGGGGTGAAGAGGTGGATCAGCTGGTGGGAGGGGAGCAGAGCCAGTGCTCCAACACAGTACTGTCCTTAGCAAGCATGTGGCATTTCTTCAACACGCCCCCACAGGAGTTACTGCTGCTTCATTCAGCTTGATGGAAAGATCCCAGCGGCCCTGAAAGAGCCTGCAAAACCTTGCCCTGGAGGGAACAATGCGTTGGGAATAAGGAACATTTCCCCTCCTGTGAGGTTTTCCGTAGGAGGGGAATGATTCAGCTCTTACTAGCTGACTCCTCTTTGTCCGTAGATGGGTGATTAGAGTTTCTTTAATATTACCCTACAGCTTTCCTTAACACAGCACTGATTGGCATTCCCCATGCCCTGCAGGCTACGCTTCCCATTAAACTCTACGTTCAGATAAACCTCCTCCACACTTGACTATCTAGATGTTGCCCCGTGGATGAGATTAACTCAACTCACGCTGGGAATACTGTAGCAAAGCCCTGGAATATGAGAGGACCTAGATGTAACAACAATCCTTTTCACCCTCATTTTTGAAAGTGGCCTCTAATTTTGGGCGCCCCGACAACAGCCGCCCCTTTTGAATCTAAAGTCCTTTTGTCCAACGGTACTTGGGGGAATTACACAGAAGTGACAATGAAAACAGTACAATACTCATGCTATGAAAGCAGATCGAATGCAAAAAAATAAAGTAGCAGGATCCAAATGGAGGGTCCTACTGAGGAGCCAAATGTGATCAAAGCAGGAAACAGCACCGCAACAGAAGTATGTTCACAAGCAGAGTGTGCTGGCATGGATTTGGAGAGGGGAGCAAACTCCCCAGTAGGAGGGTCACCTCAGCAAACGGCTCAGTCCTGGCACAATGCTGGTATCCCTGAAAGCATGTCTAATCCTCTCTCCTCTTTGCCATCATGCCCCATCTTGTCCTGAGCCAGCAGCTTTGTGCAAAGAGACACATGGAGCCCCGGGGAGGCTCTCCTGCTGCTGTCACTGAGGAAGGGGTTGGTACACCAAAAACATCACTCCTCAGCAGGGGTCAGGGTCCAGTCATCAGAATGAACCTGGCCCACTGCTCAGTTTGCTGGTGCTTCTCTCCCATGCTGCTTCCTGGATTAAACCTCCCCCACTCAAAGAACTGGACCCTTTCTCAGCTTCCAGTGCCCAGCCTTTAGAGGAAGTCACCTTAGCTCAAGAACTGCTCCAGCTGTTGCTTCCTGTCTGGGGCGGACGTCACCCCCACCACGAGCTGCCTTCTGGCAGGGAGAACAGGGCAACAAAAATCCAACCTAAAAATAAGGGATGAAAGTTAATGTTACAAAACACATACACCAAAGGGGCTCATTCGTAAAAGCCCTTCCACGGATAAAAAGAGCAGTGAGTGGGGGCATGCGTGTAGGGCAGGCGGACAGCAGAGATCAGTGCTTTAATCTGCGGATCCAGAGTTTATTCCCCACAGGCTACTCACATGGCTCTGAGTTTATGATGCCTTTGTAGAACTCTGGGGCACATAGTGCATTTTGTTCTGGGTTGTGTAACGCTCAGTGTACATTTATGGGGCTATAGAAACGCTTGGTGGCGACGGAGGTGTGGAGGCATCAACACAGTGCTCAGCAAACAGAAGAGGAATTGATGGGGGGGGGGGAGGATTGTACTTTTTAAAGCCAATCCATCACTGGGGAGGTTAAAATGGCCCCATTTAAAGGAGCTGATTAAC